GTTGTTGGTGTTTCATTGTCTGAATATGGCACTTATCACATGCTGTGTGGTATCGGCGTTTGGTATCGGGCATTTTAATGAGTACGAGTACAGGAGCTCAGTATCGGCCCGATACCAGTATTGGTATGGGTACATCCCTAGTTTTGTGTATTTTTGCGACTTTGGAGCTCCCTACAGTTAACATCCATTCACTACAGTTCACTATCATTTAATCCATTACGGTGAACAGCTGTACATGTGCATTTGTTACTGCAGCAAAGCAATCTGCCGTTTTCACAGAATTTTGTACGTTCCCTGCAGGTTATTTTTAGGTTTTATTTTTATAACCTAGAGAGAACCTTCCCAGAACGTTCTCTGAAGGTTATTTTTAATTGTCATAACCTTGCAGACTAATTAAAACTTTGCAGATGTTTCTGAGTGATTATTCTAATGCTGAAATGTGTCTTTTTTTATCATAAACTATTTTTTGCAGAATTTCATATCTGAAATAAGCTTTTAATAAAGTGTAGACATTAAAGTAGTCAAATCGCATTATAATGATAATATAAACCCAATTTTATAGCTGAAATTAAGCCAAGGTTAAGCGTAGTTTGAAATCTTTCTTTACTGCGTGCCTCTGATCTGAGCACTCTTCTCCAGCACATGCTTTCTCCTGACTTCCAGGGTATAACTGCAGCCTGGAGATCTCCAAATGGGGGCGGGAACTCCAAAATGGGGTGGGAGCTCCAAAATAGGGTGTGGCTTTCTCACATTGACAGACAGGCACATGACACGCATGCGCATTTTTCCCCCAATCCACTTTAGTGCAAACTCCACCCCACAGCTGATTCTAAAGATTTTATTGGTTGTGTCAATTAAAGTGTTGATTTCCTACACTATACTACAAAAAATGTTAACCCCTAAACCTACCCCACACCTGACCCTAACCTTAACCAGTGAAATTGACTGCACGGCAGGATTGGCTCTGAACAGCGTGGTAAAAAAAGATGCAGTTCAGGAGATAAACAGTTAATAAGATTATGCGATATGAGATTGTTCCGTAACTCCCCAACCGGACCTCACCAGACAATGGCAACTTTTTAGTTGCACCCAGCATCACTACCCCCTCCTACCCTCGAATTTCAAGCCCCTGGATGCCCCTGTTGCTTAAAACAAAGCGATTGAGTAAAATCTTTCCCCTGCGCTGCGCCGGGACTGCTCGCGGGAGAGCTTGTGGGTGATTCCCATTTATATCATTAAGCAGAGGTTCAAACTCCAGTCCAAACACCACTGGCCAAGAGCTTTGGGCTCTGCTCTCATGGAGAATATTTATTTATATAGCATATTTTATTTTAGATGAACTAGAAATTATGTTTAACTTATAAAGTTTTATTTTGAAATGTAAGTCAATAACAATTGGCTGAAGCCAGAGCCAATGGTGAAAGTCTTTACGCAAGGAGACCCTGCCCCATTTTGGAGTTCATGCCCCATTTTGGAGATCTCCGTTCTGCAGTTATACCTACTTGGACTTCCATGGAAAGACACACAAGCGCTTAATTTAAAATGTAACGGTCATTTCGTTTTACTGACTGACTAACATTCATTTATTGATCTCTTTATTGAATAATTACTTATAATTTTTATACGAGAGTAAATATTGTAATTTCAGAGAGATTTGACACTTCTAACTGAAGATGATTTTAACTGAGGAGTTTTTGTTTACTGACCAAAAAAGAAAAGCACATCATCGCTAATTCAGTGGTAAGAAATCAATGTTATCCTAGTTAAAGTCAAATAAATGTTATTCATTTTTAATGTCTGTAAAAATACCCAATATTGTGTTGAAGTCATTGTTATTTGGTGCTTAAGAAATGTCAAATCTGGGTTATTATATGGTACAGTGATAAAAGTTGAAATCTTACATATTAATGGATAATTCAATCTCATTTAATGCTCCTTATGATGGTTAAATGTGCTCTGATTATCTTTAATGATTAAACAATAGTTTAAAACAAGACATGGTTTGTAGTAGCCTACTGATTATTAAGGTCCATTCGTCCGTCTTCCATGCCGCTTATATGGGAGTGTTGGATGATTACTGACGTACAGCAGGGTATATCAGAGTAAAGAGGTTCCCTATCAAATTTGGTCTCTCGACACTGCGTAGCTTACGCTTGGGGTTATCCCCCTCCTCCTAAAATACTGAAGCCTTATTGCATCACGCCGGTAAATCTTACCGGCCAATGACGCTCGAGCTAGGGGCGGAGCCACCCACTATATAGGTCGACGTCCAGCGTCATTGCCTCAGAATCTTTCTCCTTTATGAAGCAAGCATCGGAGACTTCTTCTCACTGCCATTAACTCTTCTCGCCATTGACAACGCCCTAAGAGGACGCCGTTCACTTTTAGTTCGCCTTTGGCGATCCGGCAAGAAGACGAGATGTCACTTAAGGAGTGCTGTGCATGCGGGGACCCAATTGAGCTCTCTGATGCACACAATGCGTGTGTCTTCTGTCTGGGCCGAGCCCACGCAGAGGCCGTGCTGGACGGGCCTGACTGTCCTTCCTGTGAGCAAATGACAGTCAAAACGCATGTTAACTCAGTTCCTGCGTGGACGTCCAGCGTCATTGCCTCAGAATCTTTCTCCTTTATGAAGCAAGCATCGGAGACTTCTTCTCACTGCCATTAACTCTTCTCGCCATTGACAACGCCCTAAGAGGACACCGTTCACTTTTAGTTCGCCTTTGGCGATCCGGCAAGAAGACGAGATGTCACTTAAGGAGTGCTGTGCATGCGGAGACCCAATTGAGCTCTCTGATGCACACAATGCGTGTGTCTTCTGTCTGGGCCGAGCCCACGCAGAGGCCGCGCTGGACGGGCCTGACTGTCCTTCCTGTGAGCAAATGACAGTCAAAACGCATGTTAACTCAGTTCCTGCGTGCTCATCACTCAAGAGAGCCACCTGTTTCCTACACGAGGTCCAGCCACCGCCCATCGGATGATGCACAGGACCTGGTCTCGTTTTGTGCTGCAGAGGATGAAGTGGACATTGGCGACAATGCTATGTCGACTGCAGCCTCTGGTTCAGGTGACTGGTCCACCTGCCAGGAGTTGGAGGCTTTCCCACTGTGAGGTGCCCGAGCCCCAGGCCCTGATTGACGAAGAGCTGGTGAAGATCCTGTCGGAGGCTGTACGGCATTTGGGTCTTGATTGGTCGCCCTCCGAGCAACCAGCCAAGAACAGGTTGGACATGCGGTATTTGCAGCTGGGCCGCCCCCCAGAGACCCGCTCCCTTTTTCCCTGGGGTCCACGAGGAGGTCTCGCGGTCTTGGCGCTCCCCCTATTCGGCCTGAGCCCAAGCCGCGGGATCCCGTATGCTCTCCTCTGTTGACGGAGCCGACCGCTAGGGTTATACTTTTCCTTGGCCTTGGCGCTCCCCCTATTCGGCCCAAGCCCAAGCCGCGGGATCGCGTATGCTCTCCTCTGTCGACAGAGCCGACCGCTGGGGTTATACTAAGCCGTCGACCGCCGAAGAAGCAGTTGCAGCACACCTTTGTCCGTCCGCACGTGGGTGGAAATCTGCGCCATCGCTTCCATAGAAGCCGTGCCACACCACGAGCCACATCGCGGATAAGGCTTATATGGCAGCCGGCCAAGCAGCGTCTGCAATCCATGCTATGGCTGTTCTCTAGGCTTTTCAAGGCAAAATGCTGCAAGCGTTGGATGAGGAGGGACCGGACTCCGCCGCCTTCAAAAAGCTGCATTCGGCCACTGACTTGGCGCTCAGAGCCACAAAGAAGACGGCCCAGGGAATCGGCCACTGTATGGGCAGTTTCGTCACGCTGCAGCAGCATCTTTGGCTCACGTTGACGGACATGAGGGAGTCGGAGAACACTCAGCTGTTGGATGCGCCCGTACCAAGAAGCGCAAATATGCTTTTCCCCCAATCAAGATTATACTGCTAGTGCTGCACAAATTCAGAGAGGAAAGGGAAACAATGCTTCTGGTTGCGCCGAAGTGGCCCAACCAGCCGTGGTTTCCCGAGTTGATGGAGCTTTTAACGGTTCCCCCCTGGCCGATTCCATTGCGGAGAGTTCTCTTATCTCAGGCAAAGGACTTGGTGTGGCACCCCAGGCCGGAGCTATGGAACCTGCATGTTTGGCAGATCAGCACGGAGGACAGACGCTAAACGTATCTCAGCGAGATTTGGATAAAATTGCAGAAGCGAGAGCTCCATCTACCAGACGTCTGTATAGTCTGAAATGGAAAGTTTTCGCTTCATGGTGTAGGATGAGAGATGAAGACCCAGCCAGATGTGATGTGTCTGTCATTCTATCGTTTCTGCAGGACTGCTTGGCTGCTGGATGCTGGACTGCTAGTTTATCTGGAGAAGACCGGTCATTTCAGATTGGCGGAGCAGTTGTTTATATGTGTAACGGAGCCGATGAGACATGAGGATCCATGTACAAGCTTTTATTTATAAACATGGTCAGAACACAGGCAGGGTCAAACAATGTCAAACAGGTATGGTACGGGCAAGACACAAGAATAATCCAAGAGCAGACGAGGGTCTCTGATCAGCAAATGACATCCAGAGGGCTAGACAGAGAGAGATAATCCAGGTACACGATAATGGTCCAGAAAGGGGCAAACAGAGCGCGGATAAGGCTTATAAGGCAGCCGGCCAAGCAGCATCCGCAATCCACACTATGGCCGTTCTCCAGGCTTTCCAAGCCAAAATGCTGCAAACATTGGATGAGAAGGGGCTGGACTCTGTCGCCTTCAAAAAGGGGCGCTCCAACCCCTTTCTCAATATTAGGATGCGTGGCGCGCGTTCCAGGAGTGTCAGAATAGGTGCCGAGCCTCGAGCGGATATACGTTTCAGTTTGCACGCAGAACACCCCGCTTGACATCACAGCGGTGTGATGTCAGATGTGCATGACAGGAATGCACTGGTTTTGCGAGCAGAAATTCGTTCTCTCCTTGCGAAACAGGCAATAGAAGAGATTCCCCCGGAGATTATGGCGTGTGGCCTTTACAGTCGCTACTTCCTGATCCCCAAAAAGGACGGGGGTCTTCGCTGTATTCTGGAGTTGACACTGCTGAACCGCGCACTTGCAAAGCGCTCGTTCAAGATGATAACAGTAAAACAGATCCTCGCGCACATTCAGCCCGGAGACTGGTTTATCTCGGTGGACTTAAAAGATGCCTATTTTCACATCGAGGACAGAGCTTATCAATTCAAAGTTCTCCCGTTCGGCTTAGCGTTAGCCCCGAGGACTTTTATGAAGTGTATCAATGCAGCGCTTACCCTTCTCAGGCAGAGTGGAATTCGCATCTTGAATTATCTGGACGACTGGCTTGTTATAGCCCAGTCGCAGGATACACTGGAAAACCACAAATGTCAGCTTCTAGAACATCGGAAGCATCTAGGACTGACGGTCAATGTACAGAAGAGCAAGCTTCGCCCCACGCAGACTATCACATTCTTAGGAATGGATTTGGACACGCTATCGATGAGAGCGCGTCTCTCTCAAGAGCGAATGCAGGTTTTGATCAGCGCTCTCACCTCGTTCAAACCGAGGAGAGTGGTGATTCTGAAATGCTTTCAGAGACTGTTATGGCATATGGCAGTAGCAGCTGTGGTGTGTCAACTCATATGCAACTTCTGCATATGAGACCCCTTCAGCTATGGCTGAAATCCCGGGTGCCAAGCAACATGTGGAAGAACGGTCAGTTGCATGTCTTGGTGATCCGCGGATGCATGCAGATGCTAGCCCCCTGGCTCAACACAAGAATGTTCAAGCAGGGAGTCTCGATGGGCAGAGTGGTCAGCAGAGAAATTGTCACTACGGATTAGGGTTGGGCGATGTCAACAAAATTGGCATCGGATGATGTCTACAGTGAAACATCGCGATGGACGATGACATCGGCGGGGGCGGGATGGGGGGAGTTAGGGTGTGTGCCCGAAGCATGAATCCTTATAAGGCACGGAAAACAAATAACGATTCCTAACACCGTGTCTACACTGGACGCGAGCGGCGCAGAGCGACAAAATACTATAGAACCACTGATCTATAATAGAGATTCATTATATATAGGTCAGTGTATAGAACTCATTATAATCAGTCATGCTGTCTACACTGGATGTGGTGCGGTGCGACACGACAAATCCCCGACAGTAAACTGCTGCCGCGTTCTATTTATGACGTGCTGACACAAATTTCAAATGATTTTCAACAGTCGCTTTGTCGCGTCCAGTGTAGACAGACTTTAGCTGTTGCGGCGCGACACAACAACTGTTGCGTCCGGTGTAGACACGGTGTAATGGTTGCCTGTTACATTACAGTACATAAAATTTCACTTACCACATAAACAGAGTAAGGAGAGATGACTGAGGACGATGGCGAATGATTTGCAGATCCTCAGCACCACTGACAAACATCTAATGTGTGGTAAGTACTGCCACTCCATAGTATAAACAGAGTACATGCAATCGCAAAACTCGAAAGTGAAAGTGAAACAAAAAATTGATTGTGCATTCAAAAGCAGTTTTAGTGCCAGGTATAATAACGGATCCCTTATGCCCGAAATATATATGTAGTCTAATTACCCAATGATATAACTGCGAGAGAAAATATTGAAATATATATTTTCCTCCCATCTCGTATTTATTCCCTTTAGGGGTTCCGTATACACGTCATTTTATTTCCGAACCCGGTATTGGGATGTGGCTGATTGCGATGGTATGGGGGGGTATGTCTATGTCTATCAGCCATCGGCGATGGACGATGGCATCGTCTATCGGCCCAACCCTACTACGGATGCGCCAAATATGCTTTTCACCCAGTGAAGATTATTATGCAGAAAATCAGAGAGGAAAGGGGGAAGGTGCTTCTGGTTGCGCCGAATTTTCACTTTCTCTTTTACTTTTTATTGTCCCAATAAGGTGGCATCCATATAATAATTTTAATTAAAATTATAATTTATACTCCATATGTTATTGCATACTGTTTTAATGTACTATAATACTGAGGAGCAGATAATTGCCACTATTTGCAATAAGTACTATAAATAGCAGAAAATCCTGCTATTTTAACATAGTGTAGGCCTATATAGGATCTATTGCTTTCTGCACTTAGTGTAAATAGCATATTGTTAAAAAATACTGCTTTTTGCACTTAGTGTAAATAGCATCCATCATTATTTGGACTATATAGCCTCTATCGTCACTTATACAGTCCCAACAGTGAAGCATGGTGGTGGCAACATCATGCTGTGACTTAAACCCAATTGAGCATCTATTTTGCAGATTTTTAATAAATCTGCAAAAATGTCAACAATTCTGTGTTTTTCTGTCAATATGGGGTGCTGTGAGTACATTAATGAGGGAAAAAAATTAACTTAAATGATTTTAGCAAATGGCTGCAATATAACAAAGAGTGAAAAATTTAAAGGGGTCTGAATACTTTCCGTACCCACTGTGTGTGTGTGTGTGTATATATATATGGTTTATTTGTTCTTTTTAAAATCATCTCCAGGTAATAAATAAAGTATACGAACAATTCAGTGCTACTTGACATAGCATTTATTACAGTACAGAAACTATTCTGCCTTATTATGTGATAAAAATGAAAAAAAAAAAGTGTTTGTAGTACATTAACAAAGCATTTATTGGTTATTGTCCAACAGTGTATCTGATTTATTAGCCAATTAAAAGAAAGAAATAAGAGACAAAATAACGTTTCCTATATACAGTATATATGAAGGGGTATGAATACTTTCTCAAGGCACTGTATGTGTGTGTGTGTATATATATATATATATATTTATATAACATTTCTGTCCCCCTCACTTCTGAAATGATTGCTACGCCCCTGTATATATTATACACAGTGTAGTTTTACAGAGCAAACAGCAGAAATGGCGAGAAAGACCGCTGGGGATGCCACCGGAAGTGGCGCTGCGACCTGCAGCTGCCAGGATTTGCGCTTGCTCTCTCTCCATTTATTTTGAAATAGGTTGATATCTGGCACAGCGGGGCATTAGGCAGATAAATGGACCAGATAACTGGAGTATCCTTATAATTTCACAAACAAACTCTTAAAAATATTGCCACAGTAATAACTGACATAAAAACTGCTATGATTGGGGTTTGTTAAAGTGGATAGGGTTAATCATTTTCCAAAACCTAAAATGTACAGTGGGGCAAAAAAGTATTTAGTCAGCCACCAATTGTGCAAGTTCTCCCACTTAAAAAGATGAGAGAGGCCTGTAATTTTCATCATAGGTATACCTCAACTATGAGAGGCAAAATGAGGAAAAAAATCCAGAAAATCACATTGTAGGATTTTTAAAGAATTAATTGGTAAATTCCTCGGTAAAATAAGTATTTGGTCACCTACAAACAAGCAAGATTTCTGGCTCTCACAGACCTGTAACTTCTTCTTTAAGAGGCTCCTCTGTCCTCCACTCGTTACCTGTATTAATGGCATCTGTTTGAACTCGTTATCAGTATAAAAGACACCTGTCCAAAACCTCAAACAGTCACACTCCAAACTCCACCATGGCCAAGACCAAAAAGCTGTCAAAGGACACCAGAAACAAAACTGTAGACCTGCACCAGGCTGGGAAGACTGAATCGGCAATAGGTTAGCAGCTTGGTGTGAAGAAATCAACTGTGGGAGCAATTATTAGAAAATGGAAGACATACAAGACCACTGATAATCTCCCTCGATATGGGGCTCCACGCAAGATCTCACCCCGTGGGGTCAAAATGATCACAAGAACTGTGAGCAAAAATCCCACAACCACACGGGGGGACCTAGTGAATGACCTGCAGAGAGCTGGGACCAAAGTAACAAAGGCTACCATCAGTAACACACTGCACCGCCAGGGACTCAAATCCTGCAGTGCCAGACGTGTCCCCCTGCTTAAGCCAGTACATGTCCAGGCCCATCTGAAGTTTGCTAGAGAGCATTTGGATGATCCAGAAGAGGATTGGGAGAATGTCATATGGTCAGATGAAACCAAAATAGAACTATTTGGTAAAAACTCAACTTGTCGTGTTTGGAGGAGAAAGAATGCTGAGTTGCATCCAAAGAACACCATACCTACTGTGAAGCATGGGGGTGGAAACATCATGCTTTGGGGCTGTTTTTCTGCAAAGGGACCAGAACGACTGATCCGTGTAAACGAAAGAATGAATGGGGCCATGTATCATGAGATTTTGAGTGAAAACCTCCTTCCATCAGCAAGGGCATTGAAGATGAAACATGGCTGGGTCTTTCAGCATGACAATGATCCCAAACACACCACCCGGGAAACGAAGGAGTGGCTTCGTAAGAAGCATTTCAAGGCCCTGGAGTGGCCTAGCCAGTCTCCAGATCTCAACCCCATAGAAAATCTTTGGAGGGAGTTGAAAATCCATGTTGCCCAGCGACAGCCCCAAAACATTACTGCTCTAGAGGAGATCTGCATGGAGGAATGGGCCAAAATACCAGCAACAGTGTGTGAAAACCTTGTGAAGACTTACAGAAAACATTTGACCTCTGTCATTGCCAACAAAGGGTATATAACAAAGTATTGAGATGAAATTTTGTTATTGACCAAATACTTATTTTCCACCATAATTTGCAAATAAATTATTTAAAAATCCTACAATGTGATTTTCTGGATTTTTTTCTCATTTTGTCTCTCATAGTTGAGGTATACCTATGATGAAAATTACAGGCCTCTCTCATCTTTTTAAGTGGGAGAACTTGCACAATTGGTGGCTGACTAAATACTTTTTTTCCCCACTGTAGTA